GACTTTGCATTATAAAGGTAGGTTGTTTGAGCTTGTTCCAATGGATCTAAAACAAGTACATTGGCTCCAAGATGTTTGTATCTGGCACCCCGTGGACCATCACCAGCAACAAGCACTGTGACACTTGGTTGAAATTTGTTGTTTCACGTGAATGTTTGATTCAAAGCTTCGAATATCAAAGGGTGTCCTTTGTCTCAGTGAGCTAAAACCTCTGTTTAAAATTGTTCCCTAGAGAGGGTTCCTGTCCGAAAATTCCGTCATCAACACCGTTTAGAATGATGTGGACGCGTTCTTCGGGGATCATGAAGATCCTCTTTAGGACATCTCCAGCATGATCACTCGTAGCTACATGGTGAGAATATCCTGGAAAAAACTTTACCTCTTCGACAACTTTCGTCGACCTTCCGGTCATCGTAGATGCCCGTTGTGCTTCTAGTGTCCAGAGATGCTCTTGGATGATATCAGAATGAATGGCAACACAAACACAGATAAAGTAGTAAATTGCAGTATTTATACATCTCATTTTCTAGTGAGCTAAAGCAGCAAATTGTAACACAAACACGGATAACAAAAGCCAAAAGAGAGTAGAAATCATAGTATTAAATTGTGATCGTCATTACGGACGACACAACACGGATAACAAAAGCCAAAAGAAAGTAGAAATCATAGTACTAAATTGCGATCGTCATTACGGACGACACATCACGGATAACAAAAGTCAAAAGAGAGTAGAAATCATAGTACTAAATTGCAATCGTCATTACGAACATGATTTATTTGTTAAAAATAATTATGAGTCTGGATAAAAAGCGTGTTTGTCGTTAGTTGGAGAAAAATGTGTAAAAGCCGTTGCCGGGGATCGAACCCGGGTCACCCGAGTGACAGGCGAGAATACTCACCACGATACTACAACGACGAAGTTGAAAATCGATTTATAAACTGTTAAACCTTCAGGCCAAGTCTTTGCAAACAAATAGGGAGATGTTAAACCTTCCCCACCAGATCCTTCTTGCAATCGCTGCTGTTAAACCTCCTTCTTTGGATGGTGTTTCGGATGTGCCGGGTTTGAAGTGGGACAATAAGTGTCGATTCTCTACTCGATCTGCTTATGATAGATGTACACACTCAATCATGGGAGATGACTGTCCGATCTGGGGATTATTAACTAAATATCGAGGCCTTCCTCTCATTGAAACGCTCCTTTGGCTTATTTGTAAACGTAGGCTGCTTTCGAATGATGAAAGGATGCGTGGTCATATGTCTATTGATCCTAGTTGCTCCATTTGTTGTGCTGCTATTGAATCCTTATCACATGTTTACCGTGATTGCCCTATTGCTAGATCGGTGTGGTACAGTTTGATCGGTGTCTGTGGTCACATCGGAATAAATTAATTTTTGATCCGGATTCTTTGCCGATGGACAACGTGATACAAATGAGTGAGCAATTAGTTTTGCAGGTTGTCTGGGCATCCGAAACACACTAAATACAATGATTATGAGCATTCAATGTCAAATAATTACGAATCTTTAAACAAATACCTTATACCGACTTCAGATCAATAAAAAAACAAGTGTGTTAAAATTATAATAATTATGTGCAGTTATGTTTTAGACCTGACACCATGAAAGACTTTTTTAGTTCTTTGTAGAAATATGATAACATTATGTGTAATTGCATAAAACTATTCAACAGCACTAATTGGCAAACATAGCATGAGATATCCACGTGGATGAATCGGTGAGGGTTAATAAGACAGTTGTTTCCTGAAACTTTTATATTTTCATATAATTTATATAATTTGTTTATAATTTCTATTGATAATTTATTCAATTATTTATATAGTAAAGCAAACCTTTTACTTTCCATTCCTTCTAGCAATTAATTGATCTTATTGTATAGAGTATAGATGAATCTATGTTATCACTCAACACTCTTTTAAATAGGCAAGATGATCTTGTGAGTTCCCACATGATGGACCGTGGACTTTTGAATTTTTTATATATTTTATTAACAGTTTAATTTTATTCTTAAAATTTTATAATTCGCCCCCAACATAAAATTATGTATTTGTTCTTGAATTCATATGAGACAAATCCCCTCTAAGCAATAATTAGATATGTATTTTAGAGGCAAGAAATTACAACTGCATGCATGTTCAATAATACAATGCAACGCATAATTGAATTTGACTATAATTATACAAATATGATATTTTCAATCAGTTGTTATTATTTATCGTTCCCATTGAATTGAATATAATCGAGACCCCTCAATGGCATTTTCCATCCTTGATGATGATGATGGATCAAGAGGAAGAAACAAATTACTTTAAACAACTAATTTCTATTTATATCATATATCCTATATCTATATGCATCAACTTTAAATTATTTATTAAAATCAAATTAAATAAATATCATCAATTTTTAAACTCAACAAAAAAAAATCAATCTAGTCTATATTGATGTGGTTATTCAAGATGGAAACCGTTTGTCAAAGGACCACATTAGGTATTTTTATAAGTTTAAGGGTCACATTGAATACAAAAATAATTTGATGGTTATATTGGTTTTTCTTAGAAAAATTTGAGGGCCTTAAATACCATGAACCCTAAAATGAAATCACTGTATATATTATTATTTTTTGAATAGGTGTATAGGTGTAGGTGTGTGTGCCCATCATTATTAAATAGTCTATAAGATTTATCATTGTAGTAATAAATACGAAACCTAACTGGATATTTTTACGAGGGAATGTTGATATATTTATTTTTATGAATTAAAATTACATATATATATATATATAAGTTGGCAATTATTCTAGAAAAACAACTCAATATCTTTTATGTGAAGAAATTAATCATTTACACTTACGTGTGTAATTTCATCAAATTCATCTTAATAAAAATCATCTAAATCATGACCATTAAACGCATTTGGTAAACTCATCCTCTAACATTTAGATTTAATGAATTCATAAAGTCCATCTCAATAGGATCACTTAATTCTTGATATATGAATTCATTAAGAATATTTACTAGGCTTATCTTTTTAAATTAAATTCGGTAAATCTGTTGAGTCTAGTAAACTCATTATTTTAAATTAAATTCGATATATTCGTTAAGATAACTTGATTTGTGCATTTATAGATATTTGCATAATTGAATTAAAAACACAGGTAGCTTGGTTTGCAAAGAACTGTCCTCGACTTTGGTGGGACTGCAAACTGGTCGTATCGAGGATAAGAAAGGATGGACGGTAGAGATCCATTAGTCTCTTGAAGTATTGTATAATTTGATGTATCATATATCAACAGTTTTTCAATTCATTTGCTAAAAAGTGAGGAGAAATTATTTTGATTTCATTTTTAGTTTTATTCTATTAAAAATATAATCAATTAATTTTAATTTATTAACACGTCGATTAATCATTTATCAAAATTCATAATCATATTCGTTAATTGTCATTTTTATATTTGTGTGTGAGACAAAGTCTTATGTTGTACATTTTATAATAATCAAGTCCTATGTACACACCTCTCACATTTAGTATCTCACCGACGTGGAATTTAAATATTTTATTTTCCTCAACATAATTCACAAGTATTTTATCATTAATTTTTTATTCACCGCTCAATCATTTTTAGCATAAGAATTATCTAGATGAAACATGTGCATTTTAAGCGTGAATCATTTAATGGTAACAACCACACATTTAACTAAGAATTATCTGCATTTTCCAAAAATTAGAACCACAAAAATCATTTTCAATATATCTTAGAAATTAAATTTCAGCACGAGTTATTCATTTTTTTAGCTCAAAGTCATATACCATTGTAATGTTGTTTATCGACCCACCATTCGAATTTGAAGATTTATCACTAGCATTGAAGTTCTTCATTAGCATTTAGCATAGTGGTGACTGAATTATCATGTCTAAAATCAATCGATGCCATATTAAATACGGAAATATAAGATATATGTCTTGAATCCGTAATAGATAATAATTTTAAGGGTAAATTACATGTTCGTATTCCAATTATTTCTTTTATTCTGTTTTGGTCATTTTTTTAAAATCATACCTAACATTACGTTTTGATTTCATTTTGATCAACCACGGTTAAAAAATTAATAAAACTATTTTTTTTTCAGTGATGACATTTCATTACCCTATAGTGACACATCAACATCACCATTTTTTTAACGATGGATGAACAAAATGAAATAAAAAGTAAATATTAAGTATGATTTAAAAATAATAATAATTGGATAACCAAGGCGGAACAAAAATAATGATTGGGATACTAAACGTGTAGTTTACCCTAATTTTAATATCAAAATTAATAAATTATTTGAATTCATAACATCTGCATCCATAAAAATACAAATTGAATATCCGTGAAATGTTCACAATCTAATTTAGTATCCCTATATGAGTTGACATTAAACCAAAGACAATGGAATTGCATTAAGTTCTTTATAAAAACTTTGATGATGTCACCTAATTTTTATTTTAATTATGTTAGTAAATATAAGGGTAACCATGAGTTTGCTTTTAAAAGTCCTAAAGGGTAATCACAAAAATTAAATCTATACCGATGTCATTTTTGTACTAATTGTATTTGAAACGATGTTTTTTTCCCGGTAATAGTATGAGGTGATTACAAGGCAATATTTGTTTAGATTCTTTTTTAATCATTGTAAACGCGTGCGCACACCCTGCAGCCGCAACTATTAGAACCTAAGACCTCTAAAAAAACAACTCTCTCTTTAACAACTGAGGCCACTTGATGGATTATTATCAGTACAAAACTGATTATTAAATGTGATAAAATCTTAAATACGTACATATTAAACATAAGTAATATGAAAGAAAAATTGATTGGTTTGGTTAGTACACTCTTACTGATGATACTCGAAGACAGCAGCATAGAACAGAACCACGATTCCATTCAAGGCCATAATCTATAACTATTTATATATACCGAATCGAAGAAAAATTAAAACATTAGATTTCATGAACCAAACCAGCATAAAATTGTAGGCTAAATATCCGACCCAGCCCAACCCAGAACACAAAACATGGACCAACACCAACCTTGACCTTGAACTGAACCTGAACCCGGACCCTTTTCTTGTAATCCTTGCATAGAATAGAATTTGAGTGACTAAACATTTTGAGTTATAGTGAACTTACTCTGCTTCAAGGGCAGCAATTTCATATCTCACTTCTTCTAAATGTTCATTAATGGTGGTCACAGCATCCTGAACTCCTCTAATAGCTTCCTTGAGAGCATTATCATACTCAGCATTTGCTTCTGCATCTTCGGTTCCTGCTGCTTCTGTTATCTCATGGACGTGCACGCATTCATGCTCCATTGGCTTCTTAAATATGCAATTCTCGTGGTTCACTAGACGCTCTGATGGGCGACCTGCCTTCTTCAGGACCTGAATCGTAGCAGTCTTCAGATAGAATAAAAAATTGTCAGTGTAAACGGCAGAATTTTACAATAAGGCAAGAATCAGATATGGGTACGAAAGTCGACATTATCATGTTTATTTAATATAATAAAAAAAGTAAGTTTTACACGCTCATAACTGACACTCGTCTCCAAATCCGAGTAACATGGAATGGCAACATAAAATTCTAATTCGGTGTTCAATATAATCATCTCAGGAGCAATGGTCCAAGAACAGCTAGAGACATACCAGATGCAATTTCTGCTTTTCCTGTGTTTGAACGGCTCTAAGCAGCTCAGCTAGATCAGTTCGGCAGTAATCAGGATTTAAGAAAAGAGATTCCATCTCGAGGACCTGCAAGAGAGGAAATGTTAAAGCAAGAACATACAATCTTGAAAAAAGGAATTCAAAGTTTATGATCTTATCAAGTGTTGGACTCGGAACTTGTTTTGAGCAATCATTGAACTCTACTGTGATCTCACTGCAAAGCTGCTGGTAGGCCAATTCCCCTCCGGATTTCATATACTCCGAGAACCCTCTGATCAGTTTAATGCCAAAAATAATAATCAAACTTCTCTGAAAAAGAAAATAGTATATATAACAAAATGGCAAAACTTATAATACATTCAGTCAAACTGCTTTGAAGCATTATATTTAGTTATTTACACCATGCAAAGAACACAAGAAAAATAACTAAAACACGATACAACGTAAACACAACAAAACTACGTGAAAGCATCAAAAGCAACATAACATGAATTATTGACATGTAGAAAGTTTTGTAAGTATATAATACCTTAAACATGGTTATGACACGAGAAAAATGAAGTGAATACGAAATAGAACAAACAAATTATCAGGTCTAAGGAATACAATATCAGACTATACTCAAAGAAAATTCTTATCACTCGAGGACACAATTTCCTCCGTAAAAAATTAGACTTATAATAATAGCTTAAACATGAAAAGGACATGCATGAATTGTCAAAATGTAAAGAATTCGATATCGAACTTATTCAAAGTACATTCTTATCACCCGAAGAAGCAATCTTTATACCACAAAATTCTCCTTTAAGCATGAAAGAGACCTTTTACAAACAATTTCACATTTTTACTCCTTTTCCATAGAAAAATATAGAGGTATATACTACATTAAACACACATATGACACAAATGTATGAATTGACAAATGTAAGGAGTTCGATATCATACTTATTCAGAGAATATTCTTATCACCTAAAAGACACAATTCTTATCACACAAACGCCGAAACACTAGGATTATATGAATTGACAAATGTAAGGAGTTCGAAATCATACTTATTCAGAGCATATTCTTATCACCCGAAGAAGCAATCTTTATACCACAAAATTCTCGAAACCTTTTACAAACCATCTCACATTCTTACTCCGCCGCCATAAAAAGCTATAGAAGTACATCATACAGTAAACAAAAAAAAACTAAAATGTACGAATTGCCCAATGTAAGGAGTTTGATATCATACTTATTCCAACCACATTCTTAACACCCAAAGACACAATTCTTATTACTCAACCGCAAAAACAACACGATTATATGAATTGTCAGCTGTAAGAAACCTTTTACAAACAATTCCATATTCCCAGTCTTTTCATTTAAAGATAAAGCTTGGGTAAACACACGAGCATTTGTATAAGCAACATTTATCTCATACTGAAAAAAACCGGGTTTTAAGTAGGCGCATGGATCAACTTGTTCATTGGTACTTTTTCCCTGATTTTGAACAATTCTAAAGTTGTATTGATTGGCGAAACCAAGAAAGAGTAATAAATACTTATTAAAAGTTGAGCCCCCGGGGAACGGATTACAAGAACTAATCCAAACAAACCATCAAGCCTAAATCAAATTTAGGGTTTTTTTTATTTGGAAATAAGAGGAAAGAAGAAGGCCTACGTTTTGAGCTTGGCGTAAGCTTGAGCCCTACGCCGTTGAACCTCGAGAAATTTGCGAAGTAATCGGAGAATTTCATTGCTTTTGTTGCTGCAATAGCTGTTTGCTTCTTCAATCTCCATTGTGTCTTTTAATGAAACCTTCTTGTCAAAATCTTCCATTTTTCTTTTCCCTTTTCGATTTTCTTCTCAAATATCTCTGCAAACTTTCTTCGTTTAATCTTTTGCAGTCACGTCTTCCTCAGGAAACCGCAAATAAATGGAGAGTGAACAAATAAACAAAGAAATATCAAATTATTTTGGTGGTTCCTATACTATACTCAAATTATAAATTTAGATCATATACTTTAATTTAACCTAATTTTATCCGATTAAAATGTTGGCCTCGCCTATCTCCGAAAGCTTTTAATTGCATGACTGATGTTAAAAAAAACATTGATTATTTTAGAAAAATACAAAATTTTCCTTAATTTTTTTAAAAATCAATTGATTCTCTCTTAAAATTTTTATGTTAAATTAAACTCTTCAACTAATAAAAATTTTCAAATAATTTTTTTTTATTTTTTAGATCCAACGCTTTATCATTCAACATCAAACATATTGTTGGTGATTATTTTTCACTGATAATTCAATTGTTATGTTCATATTTTGTAACGTGGATTATATTTTATCTATAAATTATTGATTCATAATTATAGCTTGTATTTTATTATTTTAAACTATTTTAATGTAATTCAATTTTATCATTTAAAAATGTATAAAAATTCAAAAGTTATTGTCGTTCCAATACATGATTAATTCTGTTGAGAATGTTTTCAAAGAGCGAAATAAACTTGAACAGATGGAAGACTTATCATGGGAAAATATTTATAATTTTTTATATTCCTCTTTTACAATTTTTAAATAGTTTTAGTATCTTCGTTAATATTCTTCATATTTGAATTTTAAATTAACTTGATTTTTAGAGTAAAGTATACAAATGATCCTCTGATTATATGACGTTGTTTTGTTAAAACTCTCGATTATTAGAAATTATAAAATGATCTTTCAATACAAAATGATCTTTCGATTGTAGGATGTTACTTTATTAAGTCCATTGACTATTAAAGTTACAAAATGATCACCCAACTATTCATATATTCCAAACTCGTTCTTTTCCGTTAAAAAATTGACGATTGTCTGAGTTGGATGTTAATATGATGATTGAGATATAATAATCGTTTGAGATTATAAGATCATATTTTATCATATATAAGTCAGTAGGTTAATGTTCAATTTAGACTTTCGTCAAATTTTTTAACAAAAATGAAAAGTTTAAAGTATATGAATAGTCGTGTGACCATTTTGTAACTTTTAATGGTCGAGGGACTCAACAAAGTAACACCTTATAATTAAGAGATCATTTTATAATTTTTAATAATCAAGCGACTCAATAAAACAATGTTTTATAATTAATGGACCATTTATGTACTAACCCTTATTTTTATTGTTTCCCGTCATTTTTTATATTTTTTAAAAATAACAATTTTTATTAAAATATAAAAATTAAATTTTAATTTTTTAAAATAGTTCATGAATCTTCAACTAATCATCCAAACAACTTTATCATTTATTAAAGGTATAATATCAAAATTAGACCACAAAGCTTATCAAAATGTTCATTTTGACCTTCATATTCTTACATACCCTTGCATATGCATTACTCGAATCTAAGATCTCAGGAGATAACAATAAAACCCTTAATCACTAAGGTTGTTTGGTTTATACTCCACATCAATCTTTAAATTTTATTTTAATAAATAATTTTAATTAAATATTACACATAATTAACTAAACCACGATGGATAATTCATAATTACCGGATGTCTTCCACGGAAGTTGCTCTCAACCTAGCGTTGGAGGTAGCCTACTACCATATCTCCCATTATCCCATTACATATGGGAATAGGGTAAGCTATTTTTTTTAATTAACTAAGAAACTTGTGATATTCATATAAAAAACCCCATAAACGCAATATATTATCATATCTAAAACTATATTTTTATCAAAATATTCAAAACTATATTTGACCGAGTCATGTATGACATCATAGAATAAGTCATGGTTTGCCTTAAAAAAAATGCAACTCGACTGCCGAAGTTGGGTGGTTCTAACCATTGTTATTCTCTTTTGAGTATTCTAATTCATTTATATATAATATCGTATTCGATTTTAAATTTAGATAATTTTATTAATATATGCCCATTATTTTTTATAATAAGATATATTTTATAAATTAAACAAAATTGACATTACGTACATTTGCGGAAATATACTCTAGATAATTAAATTAGAGAATTACAATTCAAAGTCTTTCAGTTTGTAAGTTGTGTTATATGCTTTTTAGTGCACGAATTTAATTTGTATCCAATTATTGTTTGTCGAAAGAGTCACCACCTCCCGAAAATGAAGGCCCACTTGACGAGCTTATTAATTGTACACACATCTCCTTCAACCACAATCGAACGCCAAGCTTTCCCGATGGCTAGTTTGATGATTTCGATGAACGTGCATGATCAGAAACACCCCTCAATTTTCATACATGCCCAACAACAAATCATACCTACATGATCTTTAACTACGACACCAACAACAACCGTGTAGGAGTATAATTCGTGCATGATCTTTAACTTTCTAATGACTCAGAGAATTTGTTGGCATCGTATTAAAATTTCGGCATATTTTAATTATTTTCATCTCATAATTTAAAAAAGGAATGGAGGTTAGTTGACTTTGCCTTTGTCTCTTCTTCCTCGGCCATTTTCTCATATAATATATTCCTTTGTTTGCATTTGAATTTCTTTCATAATTTATACCTTAAACAATTGAAGAAACTATAGCCTGTTGCTGAATGCTGATGTCAATCCGCGTTTCCCCTTATCATTTCTTAATGATTTTGACTATTTTAACACCCAATTTCTCTACTTTCAACTTCAATCCGCCATTGGTGCTTGCTCTGCGAAGCTCAGAAAACTCTTCACAAAATCATTCCGTTTTCATTGAATTCCCATGGGACAAGAGAAAGGGAGACTGGTTGAAGAATATGAAATTCTGGATATTTTAGGACGAGGTGGATTCTCAGTTGTGAGAAAAGGTATAAAAAGAAGCAACGGGGATCGCCAAAAATGCCAAGAATTCGCTATTAAAACACTGAAAAGATTCACCATGACTGCTGCTGCGGCGGTGGCACCACCTCGAACCGAAAAAACCGGAGCTTCTTCAGTGGCGGCGATATTACAGGCACGGAATCAGGTTTCCATATCCGACGCGTTGTTGACGAATGAGATCCTCGTGATGCGAAAGATTGTCGAGAACGTCTCGCCTCATCCGAACGTGATCGACCTCTACGACGTTTACGAAGATCAATCCGGCGTTCACTTGGTGCTGGAGCTATGCTCCGGCGGCGAGTTGTTTGATCGGATCGTCGCGGAAACAAGGTACTCTGAAGCTGGTGCGGCAGCGGTGGTGCGACAAATTGCGCAGGGGCTGGCGGCAATTCATAAGGCGAACATTGTCCACAGGGACCTGAAACCTGAAAATTGCTTGTTCTTGAACAAAAATAAAGATTCGACGTTGAAGATCATGGATTTTGGATTGAGTTCAGTGGATGAGTTCACGGACCCAGCAATCGGGTTATTCGGATCCATAGATTATGTTTCACCGGAGGCGCTTTCTCAAGAGAAAATTACAACCAAGAGTGACATGTGGTCCTTGGGAGTCATCTTATATATCTTACTTTCAGGGTATGTTTCCAAAATTTCCCCATATTTCCTCTTAAATTTTATTTTTATGATAATTTGTATTTACTTAAATATATTTTTTATTCGATTCGATTTGATATTTTTAATTCACACCAAAGAAAATACATTAGATTATATTTTGATGTGTCTACATAAGAATTAATCTAGGATTAAGTCTCATAATTATGTTATGATTAAAAATTTTAATCTTTTAAGATTAAGGATCCCTTCTCGTTAGATTAATTTCAATTCTTTGAAAATACATTTTTAGCCCCTACCCATGTCTAGGCCATTGCTATGATAACCTATATTAGCCAAGTTTTTATTTTCTTCTGGATACATATTCGTATATAAATATGATTCTTTAAATACATATTTTCTAGTAAAAATATAATCGTATAATATCTATATATATACAATATTTTAATTTGATGTGTAATGCGATTTCCTTGTTTCATATCGTAGGTATCCACCATTTATTGCTCAATCTAATCGTCAAAAACAACAGATGATAATGGCGGTATGCTTATTATGCTCATTCATTCTTTAACACTACCTTGGATTGATTCTTTGGTTTTTAGATATATTCGTAATAGACATATAAAAATTTGGATATATTTATATCGAATATATATATTCACACTCGAATTTGAATAATATAACTTTGATGGTTCGGGTTTCGACAGGGTGAATATAATTTCGATGAGAGGACATGGAAAAACATATCTTCATCAGCAAAGCATTTGATTTCTAATCTGTTGCAAGTTCATCCTGATAGAAGACCAAGTGCTGAACAAGTATCACCTCCTTCCTTTTAACCTTTCTCTTTTCCTCTAACAATTGAATGTTTTAATTCGTTGAACTATTCGATTTTGGTTCGGTTTTGAAGAAATTCATGTCATTGCTGGAACCGAAACAGTCGTAAACTTCGAACATAGACTAAAATCAAATAGAACGTTGCTCTTTGAATTAATTTTCGATTTTCTCGGTTTTTTCCCTACTAACTCCAACCAAACAAAGCCTTACGGTTTGTAATTAATCAAATTGTTCCTTTGAATATCAATTTAACAATGCATTCAAACAGCTTCTAGCTCACCCATGGGTCATTGGGGATTCAGCCAAGCAAGAACAAATGGATGCGGAGGTTGTTTCGAGATTGCAGAGCTTCAACGCGCGTCGTAAGCTACGTGCCGCCGCCATCGCCAGCGTATTAAGCAGTAAGGTGTTACTGAGGACGAAGAGGTTAAGGACTTTGCTAGGCTCCCATGACCTCTCAAAGGAGGAACTTGATAACCTCAAGGAAAATTTCAAGAAAATGTAAGCCTTCAAACCCTAACATTTTGTTTCTCTATTTTTCTTTGTTAAATTTGATAATTAATCAAATAATTATAAAATATTTAATAAGTCTAGAGTTTGAATCTATATTTCTATAACTTTTTCCCAATCCTCACACTGTTGCATGAGGAATAGTATTCAATAGGTTTAGAAACTCGAATCTTATCTTAATTAATTCACGCTGCCACTCTTTAAATCTTAGTAATATTCAATAAGTCCGAAGTTTGAATCATAATATTTATAACTCTTTCGTTTATCTTCAAATCGTCGTCTTTTTAAGAGATAATATTTAATAAGTTCGGGAACTCGGATCTTATCCTATTTTGATCATGTATCCACTCGAAAGAGATAGCATTCGGCATGATTTTAGGGAAAAGAAGGAATGGATATATTTAACAACATTGTAATGGGAAATGCAGATGTGCTGATGGTGAAAATGCTACTTTACCTGAATTTGAAGAGGTACTAAAGGCCATGAACATGTCTTCTCTCCTTCCATTAGCTACTCGAATCTTCGACTTGTTCGATAGCAATCGAGATAGAACTGTTGATATGAGAGAAATAATCTGTGGATTTTCCAGCCTCAGAAATTCTAAAGGAGACGATGCTCTTCGTTTGTGTTTCGAGGTACACTCTTTAATCACGGTTTTTTGGAGATTTGTATTTGATACGTTTATTGTCAAATCGTTAAAAATCTTTAAACATATATTATATGGAAAAAAAGCATATCAAGTAAATTATATGATATATTTTTATTAAATTTATTTATATTTGTTATTAAAAATCATCTAGATGTGCTTTTAGAAACATATATGATTTTGGTAGATTCTTGAACTAAGTTTCGATGTTGAAAATCATTTTTAGAATGATGTTGAAGGAATTCATACAATTTATTCGAGTTAATAGATAAAATTGGATCAAATAAAGTTTATAACTTTATATTCACTTAACAACACAGTTTTCAAAACTTTTATTGTTTGTTATATTCAAATATATGATCAGTACTAATATTATTTTATTTATTTTTGCTGAATTTCAATTTCATTGATTAAACAGATGTACGACACGGATCGATCTGGATGTATTTCTAAAGAGGAACTGACATCAATGTTAAGGGTAGATTCACTTTCTTATATCTAAGTTTTAGATATTAAAATTCGATTTTCAAGTTTATTGAATGTCACATTTTAACGGTAATTACACGAATCAGTTGAGTTGAAAAGTCGAACACGAGTATGCAATTGCATTATGTACAAAATAACAAATGTTTGATTCATCATATAGGCTTTGCCAGACGATTGTCTTCCAGCAGACATCACAGAACCTGGGAAATTGGATGAAATGTTTGATGTAATGGATGCAAACAGTGATGGGAAGGTTACATTTGATGAATTCAAAGCTGCCATGCAAAGAGACAGTTCACTCCAAGACGTTGTTCTCTCTTCTCTTCGCCAACAATAGCTATTCCCCAACTTCAATTACTAGTACAGTTTTAAACTGTCGTTGAGAATTTTGTTATCGAAAAGTTTAATGTACGTGAATTTATTCAAATATGAAATTTGATATACAACAGTTGATCCTTAGCTTATTTTCACTAAGTCAAATTAAGATTATCATATTAAATAATCGAAAGTATTTAAATATATATTATTTGTAATCACTTTAATTTAATTTTTAATAAAAAGTTTGAGAATAACGTGTGATTAAATGATTTTATGAATAAGCTTCCTGATGGAGTTCACATTTCCTTACACAAAAGCGTACTTTCAATTTTTTTTTTTTTTTATAGACAAATTTATTATTTTAATTTATTTATTTATAAATTTTAATAACATCCTTTTTGGTGATTCAATCACACTTAAAAAATATTAATAATGATATTGACACATATAAAATATAAAAATCAAATTTTGTTAAAATTATAGGTTGCTAATAAAATTTGAGCTTAAAATTAAAATTAAAATATATTAATTATATATATATATATATATTCAGTGTTTTATCTCTTTTAAGAATAAAAACCGAGAATGATATTTGTTTTTCTGAGACCAAAAAATTCCAAGTCTTTTCAGTTCTTTAAATCAAAACACATCGTTTTGAAGGTACTATTAGATAAACCTATACAATCCCTAATCCCCAATTTTTACTCTTGTTTCTTTCCCGCCATTCCTTCCCCTGATTTCACCGACTTTAGCCGCCGCTTGCACCGTTTACATCGACATCGGCCGGCGACCTTTAAGTTTGTTTTTGATAACTCTCTTTCCTCGATGAAGTTTCTCTTTTTACGGGTTTAGTGGTTTCCTTTTTCAAATATTTCCCCTTTTATTTTAATTGTTTGAAAACCTAGATCTTGCTGTGGGAAATCACTTGTAAAAGTCCTGATTCTAACTTTTTTGTGTTGGGTTTATGATTTTTTGAATTTGGGTGTGATTTTAATTACTATTTTCTGCTTCAATTTTGGTCTGGTTTCAACTTCTTTTTTGTCAAATTTGGTTATCCTTGTTCCTCAGTTAGTTCTGAGTTGAAAATAATTCAATCCGTTAGAGTTCAAAGGAAGTAGAAGAATTTATAATTGATTACTTATATTTTCTAGCTCAAAAATAAATAAACAGAAAAATTGAAACCGAAGCTTCCGAACACAATCCCACTTCCATGTCCGCCGTTGATAAATATAACGTCGCGTCTGCTGAAATTCTCGCCAACAGTGCCTTGGTTCGCCGTTTTTCTTTTCATTTAATTTCCCTCTCATCTCCCACCCTCCCTTTAAATCTTCTTATTGCTTATTGTTTTTGTTTTTTCTTTGGATTAGCATTTGCCAATTACACAGGCGGCACCGATTTATGAGCAACTCTTATCGATCTTCCCTACTGCTGTAAGTTTATTCTTCTTTTGTTAATTTTAATTTGAACTTCAGTTTGACCAGGTCTCTATATATTTGTGAACATGAAAATTCAGGCAAAATATTGGAGGCAATATGTGGAAGCACAGATGGTAGCGAATAATGACGATGCTACCAGACAGATCTTTAGTCGCTGTTTGTTGAATTGTCTTCATGTTCCTCTTTGGTAAATGTCTTATCAGTCAGTTTTTTTATTGCATCGTAAAAAAAAAGGACGACCAAGCTTTTATCCTCTTTGGTAAATATCTTCTCACTCAGTTTCTTTCAGAGCTTATTTCTATGTGTTTCTATTGGTTTTATAGGCGCTGTTATATTCGGTTCATCAGGAAGGTCAATGACAAGAAAGGAGTAGAGGGCCAGGAAGAGACTCGAAAGGCTTTTGATTTTATGCTTAGCTATGTTGGTTTGTTTTCTCTTGAAACTTAAAACCTTTTTATCATTCCTCCTCTGCAGTACATATTGCTTTTCTTGTTAGTTCAGGAATTTTACGATTAAAAATGGAACATGTGTGCGTGCGTGCGCTCACATGTGTACATGCATGTCTGTATGCATGTGTGCATAAACTACATATCACAACATTTTATCAGGTGAACTTGTGGATTCTGTGATTGCCTTTCAATATATCTCTAGATAATTTTGATGAGAGTGTCAGAATGCATGTTAGGTTCTGTATTGTTGTGTGGCTAGGCAAGGCGCCTTAGTTCCAAACAACAAAGGATCACGTAGAACAACCCTTTAAGTCGGTAAATATTTTCTTATATGATTTACATAGGGTATAGGGATTTCATCATGCTTGAATGTTCTATGTAGTGTACTTTATACCATATTCAGAAAACTAATTCTCCATGTTTATGATGTGTATGTTTTTAGGAGCTGACATAGCATCGGGACCCGTATGGATGGAGTACATTGCTTTTTTAAAATCACTGCCGGTTGGTGAAGTATTTTGCCTCGATTTTGCATTACCGTAAAGTTCTATTTACCATGTATATGTGTATGTGTTATTTTCCCCTAAGAAAGATTGTTTGCAGGCTTCCAACACTCAGGAAGAGTCACAACGAATGACTGCAGTTCGAAAAGCTTATCAGAGAGCTATTGTCACTCCGACACAACACATTGAACAACTATGGAAAGATTATGAAAATTTTGAAAATTCTGTTAGCCGTCAACTGGTAATTTTTTGCATCATGGTGAATATTGTAAAAAATAAAGAATATAGTTTGGAGCAGAGAATAGATTGTATTCTCTGTTTTTTCTCATTGAGAATGACTACATAGGTTAGGTCTTATATAAACAGATTTACCGTAGGTATACAACTCTAACTTAGTTCTATTAGGAGTTAGCTTAGTCTAAGTAATATTCTATCTAATCTCTTGATGACATAAGATGTAGAGTACAAAGTAAATCAAATAAAACTCTAATAATTAAATTACAATAAAACTCTAATTTATGCAGTTACAATCTACAAATATATATGGCTTGATAGTTTCTGGTTTGGTGCTGGTGCTTGTATTCTATGTAAGTTTGTGGAGATGCTGTCCTCATTATCTTATTGGGCAGGCCAAAGGACTTCTCTCTGAGTATCAACCAAAATATACCAGTTCAAGGGCTGTATATAAGGAACTGAAGAAATATGCCGATGAAATTGATTGGAATATGCTTGCAGTACCACCTACTGACTCCTGCAAGGTAATTTCCTGTGAATTTATGCCTTTTCTTTTTGGCTTGCATTTTTTTCTATTGGCTCATTTTTTTTTTGATAGGAATAATAGGCCTCATTAAAAACCTCCCTCTTAGTTAGCTCTTGGAAAGAGTAACTATCGGAAGGAGGAAAAGAGTGCCTTAGTTTATTGAATAGAGAAACTATTACAATAAATTATACCAATACAATTAGGGCATCAGAATAAAACTATAATCTTAAAACACCCTATAAAAATACCCTTACAATCAACCAATCCCATCCTTAGCTAATTTATCTGCTTCCCAATTCTATTGGCTTGCATTTTTTTCTATTGGCTCATTTTTTTTTTGATAGGAATAATAGGCCTCATTAAAAACCTCCCTCTTAGTTAGCTCTTGGAAAGAGTAACTATCGGAAGGAGGAAAAGAGTGCCTTAGTTTATTGAATAGAGAAACTATTACAATAAATTATACCAATACAATTAGGGCATCAGAATAAAACTATAATCTTAAAACACCTATAAAAATACCCTTACAATCAACCAATCCCATTCTATTGGCTCATTGAAGTTCAATATTTTGTTCGTGCACTTATAATTGGATTGGAAATGTAGGGGTAGCCCTTATTGTATTATAGAACTTCTGTAAAACAAGTCTCTGATGCAACTCAAGAATTGTGAAATGTAAAGAAAGATAAAAGAATTATGACCATCATGAGACATTATGTTGGGTTACTGTTAATAAAACCAGGATTTCTGGAAATTTGTTGTTTAAGTGGAACTTTGGCTGTTGTTTGTGATTTTGGTTAGAGTTTGCTACAACTCTGGTTTAGTATCACGTAGAAATATTAATCCAACATCCTTATATGAAGTTTTAAAGGTGAGAATGAAAAAAAAAAATCTTAATTATTTCTATTGTTCTCGAGTAGCAACTAAAGTTGGTTGCTGATATTAATTTATGTTTATGAACTACTGAGATTGATGAAGAAACAGAAGGAAAAAAAATTCTAGGTTTAAGGGCTAAAACTCCTTGGGGAAAAAAACCTGGAGTTGATTGCTTCGCATGATCTATATCTTAACTTGCTATGTATTTTCTAAGTTTGTGAACTCTTACTATGATGATGGATTCTGTTTAAATAATAAAGTGATTTTTGTCTCTCTTGGAACAGATTAAGACCAGCCAACAGATTAACATCAAAACTTGCATAAAAGAAAGGACATTGCATTTGTGTCAGCTAATATTCAACAGACTTCTCAAAATTGAACTTAAGTCTGAAAAAAATGAGATTTACCTTCTACTAACAAACATAAAATTAGTTCTTTATGATCAATTAATACAAAGTATGCAAGTTTTGAAAAATTTCTTATCCCTGGAAATGTGCTAAATCAAGGCTTCAGCATTTGATCTGCCTTTTCCTCTTTGTTTTAAGATTTTTGATTTTAGTTAGTGGCATGACTTGCATGTATTAACTGATGCTGTTCATGGGGTTAGACAAGACAACTGCTAAAATAGGCTTGGAAAGTTCTAAATTATGATGCAAATATGATTAGGTTTATGTTCGTATAAATAGCAATATCATGCAAAAAGCTTTAAAAGAACAAATAGTTTTAATATCTGAATACTTTCATTTAAAATATTACTTGGCTTCTTATCGAAAAAAATATTACTTGGCTTTTTTCTCTCCTAATATTTCATTGTTACCTACAGGACCAGATGCAATGGATTGCATGGAAGAGGCTTTTAGCTTTTGAGAAGTAAGGACAAAGCATTCCTTCTACACCTTTGCCTTTTTTTGTGATTTAGTTTCAACCTTGGTAAAAGATTAATTCACTTGGGCATTACCTCTCTAGAAGTTTACTTTTTTTTATTAAGAAAATAATGATTTTTATGATTTATGATATGAGACATGAACATGGTTTCTTATCTTAATTTCATTCTTTTTGGCTGTTGATTTTTTGGTTCTAGTGAGCATAATCATATGAATTGGAACAAGTTGAGCAGTTATGTGGACTGCCATCATTCTATGTTGTTAGGTGGAACATGTACTAGAATAAAGAAAATATTCACTGATTGCTTTTATATGTGTATCATTTTTGCTTTACAAATCGTTATATTCCAGTGGTTTGCAACATCAGTTTCCCTTATGCATATGTGCCTGTAATAAGATAAATTTAGCCTGCAACTTTTTGTATAGATTTTAAACATTAACAGCTGAAGGCTTATGCTATGGTGAGATGACATGCATCTGTCCCTACGCTCTTGAATATTATTATGTATATCCTTAATCTCTCGACTTTAACCGTGTTTCAGAGGAAATCCACAAAGGATAGACAGCGCCTCCGATAAGCGAATTATATTCTCGTATGAACAGGTAGTTGAATGCTCAATATTTGTTTAATGATTGATATATCTACTTTCAGCTACTACTTATATGATATTCATTTGCTCCCACTTATGTCTAAACTTGATATATTTTTTTATATAGCATCTTCTTCATTAATGCATGTACGCTTATTTGGGAAATCTATGGAGTCAAACTAACAGTTATCTCCTAGCTTCTATTTGCAGTTGATTATTGTACAATTTTTCCAATAGCATTTTGCATTCAAGAAAGTTTTATACAAAGCAAAATCTAAAGCTACTAATAAAGATTATGTTTGATCAAGGAACAAAAAGAAGGAAAAATGAAAATGGGTTCAAATATCGTATCCAATTAAGGGCATAACTGGTTCTTGTAGATTAAAAATCTACTTCACCTCAACAGGTGCAAGGTGCTTTTCTTAAGCTTGTTGTGCCTTAGTGTAGCCACATGCATTGACTACATTAGATGCTATGTTAGGAGTGGGCCATCGACTAACACGCAAATGATATATTTGTGTGTATATGTGTAATATTCGTAAAACATTCAGTTCTGTCAAGAAACTTTGAAGAGAGATCCACGTTGACCCTACCAAACATGCAGAATTTCCTTTCTCTTTTTTTGGTCTATATGCCAGCATTTCCTTGTGAGAAGTAGAGAGTTTGTTATTAATCTTTTTACTCTTAGTAAGTAAAGAAAGTGAATTTCATTCAAGTGAACTTTTTTTTATCTTGCGAAAAAGTTCATTTTGGTGGTCAGGCGTGTGGCTGATCAAATATGCCTCAGGCCTTCACCGAGAAAGGTCTAATATGCTTTCATGTATGAATAGATAAAAGGATTGAAATATTCTCAAACGTTACTAACCTTTAATCTATCTAGTGAAAAAAAGTTCTATAGGTTCTGCTCACCTGATTTTGACATTAATTCTTTCAAAGAAAAGTTGTTAGCACTTATATAACCTAGGAACCATTGATAATTGTTTGTCTGTTAGCACTTACATCCATAGATGCATAGATTTATTATTATTTTCTTGCTGTTTGTTTTTCTTTTCCTCATCCTTTGTCTTTATCAATGATGATTGCTGCATTCTCACTTATGCAGTGTCTGATGTATTTATACCACTATCCTGATATATGGTATGACTATGCCACATGGCATGCTAAAAGTGGCTCCACGGATGCTGCAGTCAAGGTATTTCAGCGAGCCTTGAAGGTTCTTCCTGGTAATTGGTTCTTTTCTCTTTAGGTAGAAAGTTGTTCAGAATATTTCTGACGACTTATATGTATCTAGCCTTCTCTTGGAGTAGCCTATTGCACCTTGCTTCCATTACCTTCTATAACTTCCATCTGTTTTCTGGTTTATCAGACTCAGAAGTGCTCAAGTATGCATATGCAGAACTAGAGGAATCCCGTGGAGCAATCCCAGTATGAAAATTGTTCAATATTTCTACTTAACGTTGCTGAACTATTGGTTCTTTGCTTTTGATTTGCTTCCCCATTGGTGCAGTCCGCAAAGAAGTTATATGAAAGCATTTTGGGGGATGCTGCTCAGACTACAGCACTGCTCATATACAAGTAAGGAAGTTTTAGGTTGTTAAATATAATTGTCATTTCAATATAGTAATGGTAATGCTAAGAATATTATTTTAGCTACAGTGCAAGGACTAGGACTGCGCTAAAATTGCATCCTTGTTATTAAACAAGCTTATTGTTTTATTAAATGATTAAAACTAAGGTTCTTTCTAATTGGAGGTTAAACCTCTCCAAATTTTATATTTTCACTTAAGAGACTAGAAGTCCTGAAAACTTTTACTCATAAACTTCAAATTTATTTTAGTTTAATGACTGATTTCATATGTTTTCTTGCTGCAGTTTATCCGGTTTCTAAGAACGAATGAAGGTGTTGAAGCAGCTCGCAAGTATTTCTTAGATGCTCGCAAATCACCTGGTTGCACGTACCATGTTTATGTTGCTTATGCATTGATGGCATTTTGTCTTGACAAGGACCCAAAGGTGCTATTTGTTCACTTCCTTAAAAATAAAAAATAAAAACTCTTAACTTTGCCTGTAATATGACATTTGCTTATGGGTGGGAAGTGGATGGAACAAAGGAACATAGATGAATGTGAGAACCATTTATTTCCTTTAGTTTATGTTTCTTCTCCCACCACAACCATAATTTCTGGAGGTTTAATGTCAGTTACATTGGTTCAGACAATTGACTATTGGAAGCCAAAAAACTGCCACATGTATAATTTATTTACAAAAAAAAAAAAAACTATTGGCATAATTTTTTATTACCATTCCTTATGCAGGTTGCTCACAATGTTTTTGAAGCAGGCATGAAACATTTTATGCATGAGCCTCTATATATCCTAGAGTATGTTTATTGTTCCATTATTTTCATTTGTATATTATTCATTGCCTCGTGGAATACTTTTTAGGACTTTGCTTCTCTTTGATGTTTTCTTGAAAATGCTCACTGTTGGTAAAAGCATTCTATATTAGGCCATAGACATGAAATGTGAAAGTATCGTAGCAGTCAATTTTTTCGAGTCAAAGTAACCCCTCTCCTTTTATAATATTTTCCCTTGTCGCTTCAATGACCAACTAGACTATAGTTTTACCTTCAAACGACATCATTTAAATTCATTTTTGTTTAATTACCTACTAGTTCCTTTTCATTGGGGTTGATTAGAGAGAACTAGATATTTTCAATCATTATTTTATATTTTATTTCTGAAAAACTTGGACCATTATTTTTGTAGTTGGTGGTTTACTCTTATGAAGTTTTAATGCGCAAGTCAGAGAGTAATTAGGTGAACCTGTCTCTTAGTTTTAGAGCTCTCAATTTAAGTTTCTAATCCTACAGTGTTAGTGAAATTGAGTTTTTAGTTGTCGAGAGGAACAGGAGATAGGATTAGCACGTGTGAGCTCCTTTGCATGTGGCTCTAGTGGTGAAGGCCCATTTGAAATATAAATTCTGTTCTGCAGTTTGTACTTTTTTTTAAAACTATTAAATATATTTTTGTGCATAAAAGACTGTTATTTGCTGCATCACCAATTTTTCTGCATTCCACTTTACATTAGTGCATTTGCGGGTGCTGCCTATTAGTGTGCCTTCGGTGGTTTGAGGTGTTGTGTACATTGGATATGATGAACTTGTTCTTAAGTGTGAAGTTGCTTTAATATTTTTGCATAATGAATTAATATACTATGTGATTCGATGTTCTCATTACAAGAAATTCCATACAATATGAATGAAGACACTTCTAAATTCTTATATGTGCAGATATGCAGATTTTTTGTCCTGTTTGAATGATGACAGAAACATCCGGGCATTATTTGAGCGGGCATTAAGCTCACTACCACAAGAAGAATCTATTGAGGTACTATATTGAACTTAATAATAAATAAAGTTTTGTTGTAACCATACTGGCAGATTATTAAGATCTGCCCCCCCCCTCCAACCACCACCACCACCACACACACAAGAGAAGTTAGTTGTATATTGTACGAAAAGGATTAATGAAGCATCAAGTTTCTGAACAGTTTAGTTAAAGTTGAATCAAAGTGTAAAACTAAACAGTTATTGATATCTACAGCTACCACTGAGGATGAATGCAAGAACAGATCCCTATTCTGGTTTATTCTAAATTTTCTGGAAATCTTTGGTAATAGACCTTGTTCAAGTATTATCAAATTTGAACTCCAACATGAAAATGGAAAAAGATATTGGCTATCCCAGCTGCTGGGAAAATTGTCCACATAATTTATTTTACTGTTTTGCACTTCAAGAGAAATTTACGGACTTTCTGTATGGTTAGAACCTATGTTACTCAGAGTCAGGTGTGTGTCGGTTCAAAATATAACTTTTTTTCGTAAAAGACTAGTTTGTAATTTGTTTATTAAATTACGAGTTTTGCAGCTTCTGCTTACAATTTGTTAACATTACAGTAACTAGTAGTTGAAACTGCCCTTCTTTGCAGATCTGGAAACGATTCACCCAGTTTGAGAGAACTTATGGTGATCTAACTAGCATGTTGAAGGTAGCTGTTTTCTGTTGGATCATACTTGGTACTTTAATACTTTTTATAGCTGTTAAAAATTTCTTATACCCTTGTTCCTGATGCATGGAGGAGCTATAGATTTTATTTTGAAGCTGGTCTGGATCATCTTTGTTGAACAATATCTTCAATTGTATTTTAAACACCATCCCTCAATCATCATCACAGGGAGTTGTGTTTTCTCCCATTAAAAGAGCCATAACTATTGTTTTCTCTATGTAGGTTGAGCAAAGGCGGAAAGAAGCTCTTTCTGGAATAAGTGAAGAGGGTGGTTCTGCATTGGAGACTTCTCTACAAGATCTTATATCACGCTACAGTTTCAAGGATCTCTGGCCTTGTTCCTCCAAGGAACTTGACCACTTGTCCCGACAAGAGGTTACTCCTATCTGAATTTACTACTACTATTTTAGATGGATTGCATTCTATATTGCTTGCTTCATTCATTTGTTTGATCTATGTGCAATTAGTCACGTGCAGTTGTGATCGTGAATTCATTATTGAAGTTCTTAGTGATGCCTTTACTTCATTCCCTTTTGGCATTTTGCTAGTTTAGTTTCTTTTTTCTTACTTTTTATTGTTGGGCAGAAATATGCTTCTCATAGATGAAACATTCCATAAGGTGCAAAAAATCAGTTGCAGGAGAAAGAAAATTATTAAGGATGTTGATTTGTATACTTAGCTGGGGTTAATCTTTTAGAAAATATTGACAGAAAAACTGTTGATTTGTTAGAACTGGAAATATAATCTTTTGATTAACACTGACGGTAACGATTTCTGGTAATAGAGAGGATGGTTAAGCATTACAAGTTATGATGATCTTTATGTTTGAATTATTGAAATTGTCTTTGCTATTTTAAAAAGCCCTTTGATATTCTCTTCAGTGGCTCCTTAAAAACATTGGTAAGAAAGGGGAGAAGTCAGCTCTTTCTAATGGATCTGCAGCAAATGGTAAATCATTTGTTTTTGTTCTTGTTCCAGGTTGATCTTCTTAGCTACTATTAATATTCAGTGGGCTAATTCTTGTTTTCATTTATGCAGATAAGAGTTCATCAGCAACAACAGGCATTTCAACTGCTTCCCTTAAAATCATGCATCCAGATACGTCTCAGATGGTGATTTATGATCCAAAGCAACATCATGGTACTAATTTGGGAATCATTATTTCAGTAACCAGATTTTACTTTAGTAAAAATATATGTCTCAATGGTCGTGTGATTGTTTTCAATGGTATTCTATTTCCCATAGCAACTTAAATGGACCATGAATGGATGGGGACATGGAGTACCTCATGTTGTCATCGTGTTCAATCATGGTTTTCACTTCCTCATATACTTTGATCATTAGTAGTATTGAACTCGAAACTTAAGAATTCCTTTGCAGAGAATTATGTGTAGTCATTTATGCATGAAACGGGCCTATGTTTCGGTAAAAAAATTAGACCACATTAGCCTCAATAATCTTGTTATTATTTCCAATGTTTTTCTAGTTTCTTTTGCAACTTAATATTTTTGTGCATGTTTAATTTACAGTCTTGACTTATATACATTCATCAGTTTTGGTTCCTTTCTAGAGAATGATGTAATCATCTGTGTTTGAATATTCATTGTTTGACGTGATCAACAAAATTTACCTACAACAATTGCCTAGGAATATGCCTATTCATCTTTGTATAGTTTATGCCGGGAACCCTGAAATGGAAAAGCAACAAGAAAAGAAACATAAAATGCATTAGAACGGTAACTGATAAGGAGGAAAGCTCAACATAGAGAAAGTGCCCAACATTGAAAAATGAAAGGAACCATATAAGATTAGAGATTTCCCAATTTTCAAAGTCAAGGGAGTTGTACTCCTAGGTGTAAATTTTAAGGAATTATAGCTATCAAGACTTTATGGTGTTTCCTTTTCCATTCCCTTCTTTGTGTCATTTCCCCATTTCAAGTGATGGAAGAGGGAAAATTTTGAGAAAATTGGGGGTCAGATGTTGAACATGTATCTCTGATATGGATAACAAATTGTATTACTTCGCTATTCTTTTGGGCTTGCAAAGTTTAATGGATTTTAAGATGGTCAGCTTTTAGCAGTTCCACTCTTTTTATCTTCTGGCGATTGATTTTACCAGACTGTCAAATATAATGTTTTGCCTTCAAAAACTTTGCAGTGTGTGCTTGTTGAATCATATTGAAATGGTAGATACTTAACTGACTGAACTTGTTTGAATGTAGGAACCACAGTTCCTTCAAACAATACTGCTTCCAATTTGTCGAATCCCGTGGCTAGTGTTGTAGGGGCGGCTTCAAATCCGTTAATAAATCCATCAGTTTCCATGTTAGACAGTGGATCAGCCAATGCATTTGATGAAGTACTGAAAGCAACGCCACCTGCTTTGATAGCATTTATGTCAAGCTTGCCTGCTGTTGAGGGTAATCTATCAAACTCCAACTGCAGTTGCTCATCCTGTAATATCTGATGTCGGTCGTTATAAACTTATAATCTGTATTTGAATTAATGATCTATTGCAACATATCAATGATGGAATTCAACAGTGCATGTGCATCTGCTTGAATTTTCCTTGTGTGACCTTTAAGTCCCTGCTGATCTGGTATCCTAGGAAAATAATTTGTTTTGCACTCTTTTTCCATTTTAAATATCCTCTTTTCCCCAAACTATGTTATTAGGGTTTGGGTACGAGTATTCGTCACCTGGTTATATGTTTTTCATTTCTTTTGGTAATGGTTTCAGGTCCGTCGCCAAATGTAGACATTGTATTGTCGATTTGTTTGCAGAATGACTTCCCAACTTGCCAGACAAAAAAATCAACGAACCTTCCATCTCAAAGGACAACTGGCCCTGCTCCTAGCACTAGTGATCTTTCTGGTTCGAGCAAGTCCCATCCAATTCCCAGAAGACAGCTCGGTAAAAGAAAGGATCTAGACAGTACGTTTCGTGCCATATTTGTTGTTATGAATTTCCTTAATGAGTATCGTATGCTTTGAGGATCACCTGCAGATTTTCTTATTTATTTTGAAATGAATTTAATCTCGATTTGTTCTCCTGTGTTGCTCCGACACTTTTTCTTGAAGTATCCACAACATATTTGGACATGGGAATGGGGATATAATCCTACATGTGTACAAGTACAGTCTAAAATTTGTCAAAATCAAGTATATTCAAGTCGGACACATCCTTAAGTAGGGCAAGAGGATGAAACTGTCGGATGCTTGTATATTTAACCCGAGTCCGGATAACATAGGGCATGAGACATGACTTGTTATCGTTCTTCTTACTTTTTGAAGGGCAAGAGGAGGATGAAAGCACAACAGTTCAAAGCCAACCATTGCCAAGAGATGCATTCAGGATAAGACAAATGCAGAAAGCCAGAGGGGGTTCGACTTCACAAACTGGATCAGTTTCTTATGGAAGTGCTCTTTCTGGGGATCTCTCTGGCAGTACCTGCTAACCCTTTTTTTCTGTAAAATTTATTGTTTTGTATACTTGTATCTGTATTTGTCAAATGCCTTTCGGTTAAAATAAAATTACCAGATTTTCGGATGATATCTTACAATTGAGCTATTTAAAAGATTTTGAATATATATCACTTTGTAGTCTATAAGCTATTTAAAAGATTAGTAATATAAATTTTTTTTTTTTGCTTTGCATTTGGTTGCAATATGATGATGATGTCTCCGACAGTTACGGCTGCTCGAAATAAGTTATGCCCTTCTCTATCATCGCCGATGCCAACATTAGGAATCCTTTCACCTTGGTCAACAAACCAGCTGAAAACTGTTAACTTTTACATACAGTGTGTGCTTTTCCACTAGTGGATGTTGCATTAGCATTTGTTTTAGATTTTCTGAAAATGATTTTTGCTACTAAAAGACTGATCGGATCGAGTCAGCTAAATAAATGCTTTGTTTGTATGCTTGTTGCCTTTTGTTTTGCTGTTGATGTTTTATGTTATGATTTGTATGTTCCCAGACAAGTGAAAGGGACTATGTATCTCGATAATATCTTATTTTATATCGAATAAAATATAATTTAATTACGATGAAGAATTAAACCATGAACATAGTCGGCTCAGTAGAGGGAGTGCCATGCACTCCCGCTCAAGGCCCATCTACCATCATAAAATAATAAATTAATACGTGTGACAATATTATAAATTAGTGACTGTCCTTTATTATTTTAAATGTATTTAAAGTGTCTTTTTAATAAAACAATAAATTAACGTATCTGATAAAGTTTAATTATATTTTTATAAATTATTAATAAAGTATTAAATAAACTTTTAAAAGTAATGAAATATACTTTTATAAATAAAAGGTTTAATTTTTAGTTTTTGTTCGGAGTTTCAAAATTTTCTGAGTTGATTCTTACCATAAATTAATTTATTTTGAGGAAAGGATAGTTATATGGTTTCGATTATTTTGACCAATCATATTTCAATAGACATACACAATAATATTTGTATTATTAAAATCTAAAGTTATTAGATAAATTGTTTTTATTGTATATTCTTAAAATTGTGTTTTTGGTTTACCTATTTATATATGTTATAATAAAAGAAAGTAATGATCGTAAACATGATTATAAAATAAAAGAGAAAAATAATAAGACATCAAATATTCTAATATATTAGAAATATACATTTATAAAGATAAATACTTGTTTACAAAGGGAACTTATATGATAAGAAATTTATTCAAATTAAATTTAATACTTTTAATCAACATCTAATATTAGAAGTATAGTCTTATAGAAATTAAACGAATTCGAACCATCAAAGCTTTGACAATATAAACTAACGTGTGAATTTACAATGACACATGTAACAATTTCATAAAATAATATAATATTTAAATCATCTAAATAGTGAATAAATAGACCTATATATATCTCACCTTAAAATACATTCATCATACCAAACAATAAGCGTTACTTTTTTTAACAGGTTTTTTTATTAAATTAACTATTGATAATAACTTAATTAAAATATTTATGTTTGGTATAACCATTAGTATTCGGGATTGAATGTTATAAAAGCAAGGGCGACTCTCCAAACTCAATTTTCCATTTACAAAAGATTCAAACCTATGAATTTGTTAATTTTTTATAACTAATAAAATTTTCAAAAAAATTGAGTCCGAAAAGATCCAATTTGAAAGAGCTAATCTTAAGACAATTAAATTTAAAAAAAAATCAAGTTCGAGAAAATACAAACTCAAGAACACGCGTCTCTAAAAAATTTGTGGCCTAGCTAATCGCGCTCACCATAACGCTAGCTCAAAATCCATTCAAATCACTAAAATTAGTCGTACTAAACCAATGACGAGTTGATCTAGTGGGATGAAGTACTAGATCTCTTAAGCAAGGTAAGGGGTTTGAATGTTGACGCTTGCAAATGAAGCAAATTTGATTGGGAGTGTGTCCTTATCTCTGCAGTACTCGATCCAGATTAGTCGATTAATAAATCGAAAATAGTTGATTATACCAAATATCAATGATACTAAAACGAAAGTAGGTTGATAGGGGAATGCTTAAGATGAGATTTGCATCCTGCGTACTGAATAATATAATGATTAGTTTCTCATCTCATTTTTCTATGTCATTTCTTATCAAGTCAAAAATCCATTCCACTTCATCTGTTCGTGGTGAAACAACTCTTCGAGATTCCGAACTCGGTAACCAGAAATCATTCCATATGTATATACAATTTTCCACAATCACCTTCCACCTCAGGCTTTTTTCTAACAACCTCTGACATTCCAAATACTTCACCAGATATAAGATGATTGGGAACTAAAACTCGCCAAAAGAAACTCACCATGTAGATAATACTTTGCCTTGAGCAAACAATTTACTAAAGATGATGGATTATTAATCAATCTCTATCCCTACTTTACAAGTAGCGCAATAAAATCAAAATCCCAGCCAATTTTGGTTTACACAACTAGTCTCATTTGCACCAATGTCCTCTTTTGTCTTTGTTCTCTATCACCAAAATTAATTGTTAATCTTGATTCCTTTAATATCATGCATTCTCTGCTTGTTGTAATAAGGAGGAAAGTCCCTCACTGTGTCATATACACACAAAATTAATTGTATAAAATGTCTCAAATATAGTTTAAATTATAAATTAATTTTAAGTGATAAGTATAAAAATATTAACATAAAGTAATATTATTTAATTGATTAAAAATATATTTTACAAAACTTGTGCTGGGAAATTGATAGACAATACGTGCAGCCTGTCTTAACTATGTTCTATCATTGTTCAGAATCAGAATGTCATTTTTACCTTCACAAAACTTGTGATGAAGTGTCAAGAATCAAGCAACATTGATTTACTTTTAACCCCTAAACATAATATCTGCCTTCGCACCCTCATTTCATGTCAACTCACATATCATATTTTACTTGATATTAGACACTGAAGTGTATAGCCGCGTTTCTAGAAGAAATGGGATGCAATAAGTTTGCTTTACTTTTGGTTGCAATGGTGGTGGTGCTTCTCCCGATGAAGTTTCGACTGTTACGGCTGCTTGGAACGAAGATATGCCCTTCTCTATCATCTCCCACGCTAACATTAGGAACCCTTTTGCCCGTAGTTTCTCGATGGACAAACCAGCTGAAAACTGTTTGAAAACAGGCTATATTTGCGGTGATTGGTTCATATGTTGCAGTGGTAAATGTGACGTAACTTTTCCGATGCCTTTCGGATATTGCAAGTGAAAGATTAATGTTGAATAATAGGACCGAGTTATGCCCATGTTTGTTGCTTTTGTTGTTGAAAAAACAAATGCACCGAAAGTGCATTGGATTATTAGGCACCGAAAGTGGTGTAGTTTTTGTTGATTTTTAGGTATGGATAAAACCTCAAATTTAGTCATTGTAATTTAGGGTATTTATAAATTAGTCCTTAAGCTTCAACTATAAATACCCTAGCTCATTTAGCTTCAAAAATCATCCCAAAGCATTCTAGCTTTCTTCCAATACTAGAGAGAATTTAGAGAGTTTCTTGAGAGTTATTTTCTCATTTTTATCAAGAGATAATTATCATTGTTTTCTCCTTGGTAGATCGAGAGAGGTTGTAATTCCTATTTTCTCATAGTAAAATTCTTCTACTGTTGCCCGTGGTTTTTACCCTAATAATTTTAGGGGTTTTCCACGTAAATTTTATCTCTTTTATCTTCATTTTTTATTTTCTCAAATTATCAATTGCGATTTTGCTCTATCCGATAGCCGTCTTTCGCAATAATTGGTATCAGAGTCAGATTTAAGTGTGTAATATCTGCTTATTGTCTTTGTGGTTGCTACCAAAAGGTGGATCCTCTAACAAAAGAAAATAAGAAGGTATTACACATTCTTTGAGGTTCTAGAGAACTATTAACGATAGTGAAATAGTGGGAGATATCCGAAATAGAAGCTATGACAACGAAATTTGATATTGAAAAGTTCAATGGGAGAAATTTCTCATTGTGGAAATTAAAGATGAAGGCTATCCTGAGGAAAGACGGGTGTCTAGCGGCTATCAGTGAAAGGCCTGTGGATTTCGCAGATGATAACAAATGGAACGAGATGGACGGGAATGCTATGGCAAACTTTCATCTAGCATTAGCAGATGAAGTATTGTCAACATCGAATAGAAGAAGACAGCTAAGGAGATATGGGATCATCTCACAAAACTGTACGAGGCCACATCGTTGCACAATAAAATTTTCCTTAAGAGGAAATTGTACACTCTCCGTATGCCAGAATCTACTTCAGTGACAGAGCACTTAAATACACTGAACACCTTATTTTCTCAGCTTACATCCTTAAGCTGTAAAATAGAGAACAAGAACGTGCTGAACTTCTACTTCAAAGTTTAACGGATTCGTATGATCAACTCATCATCAACTTGACAAACAATAATGTCACTAGTCTAGTCTTCGATGATGTTGCAGCTGCTGTTCTACAAGAAGAAAATCGGCGCAAGAACAAGGAAGACAGACAAGTAAATCTGTAACAAGCAGAAGCTTTGACAACGATGAGAGGGAGATCAACAAATGTGGCCAAAGCAGCAGTCACAAACATGGTAGATCGAAGTCAAGAAGCAAAAAGAATTTAAAGTGCTACCATTGTGGAAAGAAGGGTCACTTGAAGAAGGATTGTTGGAGTCTAAATAAAAACTCTAATCCACAAGGCAATACCGAAAACACTTCAGATGGTGGAGATGCTCTATGCTGTGAAGCGTCAACCACCGTGGAAGGTAGAAAACGATTTGCAGATATATGGATCATTGATTCGGGAGCAACATATCACATGACCTCAAGAAGAGAATGGTTCCATCATTATGAACCTGTCTCAGGAGGATCTGTGTATAGTTGCAATGATCATGCCTTAGAGATCATTGGTGTGGGAACCATCAAATTGAAGATGTATGATGGAACAATTAAAGTTGTTCGAGATGTGCAGCACGTGAAATGCCTGAAGAAAAATTTATTATCTTACGGATTGTTGGATAATAATGCAAGTAAGATTGAAACACAGAAATGAATCATGAAGGTG